CTTGAAAAAAGTCTCCTCCCATTGAATCTCTCATGCCTAGTTTACTTGTTGGAGTTCTTCCTCCGGTACAAACATCACTTCAAATGACTCTTCGACGCATGTCGAAGATTCATTTGAAGAGTCATCAGAATCACTGGACACTGAGCTTGTGTCATCTTCTCATGAATTGGGAGATTCCTCATCTTCTACAGCATCTCTGGCACTAAGGTTCCCGCGTGTGTTGGTGAGAACTCGATCAATCAACTCAGCCTTGCTTCCACTTATCTTAAGACCTTTTTGCTTTAGATACATTTTCAGCTGCTTGTTGGTAAGGGCTTTTACATCTTTTTCAATTGTTCAAGAAATAAGCGGAAGAGTGTTCCTTTCTCTTACTCTGTTTTTTTGGCTTTTGCATCGAGGAACTCAAGGTGCTGTACATAACTTTTACATGCAGTCTCGTCCACGTTGAACTGGGAACATACCTCTTGCAAAGACCTCTCTCCAGATAGGAAAACAACAGCTCATAGATCAGAACACCTTGTCAGTTTTATTTCAATGATAGTATTTTAATTCTAAAAACTCTTCCACTACTGTTCCAGTTTGCAGAAAGGAATGAAAAAGTAATACCCTCCCTGTATGTATTAAATTTTACCTCCAACCCCCCTCTCTCTTGTTGTCATTTTCTCCTATGCCCTCCTCCCCTCAAATTTCCCAACCCCACCTCCAGGTAATTTTTATTGCACAGTCCCTTAGATCGAAATCAACGTAATATATAGGCAATAACCTTGTAATCAAACTGTTCGTAAGTGTTAGATGAGAATGTTGTTCTTCTTGAGTCGTTCTCAAAATCACGCCGCGCGAAATTTATGCCTTGGGATTGAACTGATGTTTGCTGCGCATGCTGCACCATCGTACTCGCGCTGTTTGCCATGGCACCGACTGGCTGAGTTATATCCCGGGTGATATCCAAGCTTGATCTTGCGTGAGTGACTTTATCGATAAGCTTTTGTTTCACCCGACTTGAACGAAAGGCCCATTTCTAATAATACTTCCCTAAGAAAAATTACTGTCATGTCCTTTGGATCCCCTGCTTTTAGTTGTTGAATATATGTTGTTTTTCTTTTTCTTCCTGTTTCTTCCGTCTTGATTCTTTCTCAAACAGCTCAGGAAGCTTACTATTGATAAATACTTGATCATCTTCCGTTAACTGAAATTCACCGTTCGTTTCCTCACCTTTTAAAACACAGCAATTCTACTGTCATTCCCGGGTAAATTTCAATTATACACCCACGCGAGCCAGTCAGACATGTGGTCATGGGATTTCCGCTTGACACGGACACCACCGTTTACACCATATTCTCCCGGGTGTTCTTCAAAACCCGGTGAAAACAAAATCCGTTTAGTCTTAGTGGAACTATTACTCACCATTTCAGACCCATTTCATCCCGTCCTTAAAGGGCCAAAGAGGTGACACCAAGGTCCGCTCAAGATGTCCTAACTGCCCTCTAGTGTTAGTGGCTTTAAACGCTCTTCCCCTGGAGCCAATCTTCTTATGGATGAGAAACTCTTCTCCCACATCTACACTGAACCGACATTCTTTGTAGCCTTTTACACTACACGAAATCTCGATAAGTGCAGTGTCCTCCCGGGTCTCCTGGATATCGCTTCCTGACGTTTTCGACATGTTTACTGAAAGTCGGGTGAAAAGGGAAGGGGGAAGCCAACAGTGATTTGACCTTAAGACTGAATTTCCACAGACCACGTGCCTATCATGCGATATGAAAATTGTCCTATCGAACAAGAGTTCGGTAATCGAACGTTCGATTGTGTTCGATTGGCAAAATTTTATTGTGAGTTCGATTATGTTCGATTGAGCTCGGCAATCGAACGAGTGGTGTTCAAATTACCGAACTGTTCGATTAGATACCCCGGGAATACATAATGCAAATTCTCGGTTGAAACTCTGCATTTGAAATTTTCGCAATAACTTAGATTTACACCTACAGACGCAGCGAAAATCGTTACAAGATGCCTCATTCGCCGTCTTCTTTTTAAAACTTCTTTCGCAGTTTCGCTGAACGAACACTGAACGAAGATATACTTCTCACAGCATATGTTTTTGCCTGGCTACTTGAAGAGTAGAGTAGAGCAATTTTATTCAGGATATCTTCCGCGGTTATTGACAACAGGCGGTAATAAGACGACGTCAAGATGAGAAATCCTACACCCAAAAATCACTCGGCCGTGATAGGTCAAACTCTTGGGCTTAGGCGGTCATCGCCCCTAGGATTTCGCGCAGCCATTTTTTTCTCGCGGTTTTCTTTCGCGTCACGCACGATGGACTCAGTGTGGACTAAGCGAAAGAGGGACTACTCGTAGTCTAGCTGTTTGCTTGCAGTCTAGCATTTATTTACTGCTGTTTGCTTGCGGTTAGCATTTATTTGCTGCTGTTTGCTTGTGGTTAGCATTTAAGGGGTGAAGGGGAAGGCGCCTACCACGAATTATATGCAAGCGAAAAAAACAGTGTACCATCACACATACCCTGTCGCGCAGGTTCGCCCCCAGATCTTTTCCCTCCTCGAAGAGTGAGAATTATTGGGTACAAACTTATCAATGTTTATACGAAACCAAGATGGCTGCCGTGGGCTTCCGTGAGAAGAGGAAGTTGGCACAAAAAGCCGACATTTTTGTTAAATTTGAGGCAAAGGAGCGATATAATAGCATTAGACAGATTTTGAAAAAGGATCCTTCATTAAGAAATGACGAAGAGCTGCAAATGATGGCTAATTCGCAAGAAATAGTCCAAGAAATAGAGAAGCGATCTTTGCGACAAGAACTAGCTAAGCGCCGAGTTGAAGAGGTATGTCGTGAAGCTGTTTCAATTTTCTGTTTATTTTACATTTTTAAGGGTGTTATTTATAACCCCTTCATTTCTTGGGATATAGGTGCTTGATCCGCCTGATGTGTTGGATGAAAAGACAACTGAACTGGCTCAAGCAATAGTGAAGGCCAAATGCCTGGTTGTTTACACTGGTGCTGGAGTTAGCACGGTAAGATAAACTAATCAGTGCGGGCGTGAAGCAACCCTGTGAGTAAGTTCATCTATTCCTCTTTAATTTCCATTGTGCAAGACTTAATTATAATGTGTCCTTTTTCTTCCAGGCGGCCTCGATTCCTGACTATAGGTTAGTTGACCTTGTATATATTAAAAATTTATAGTGATACCGCAGCCTCCGTTGATATAAGCGTAGGTTTACAAAATAGTATGTTTTCTTTTCATTAACATGTCAAATAGACTGAGTCTTGTGTAACATTTGTAGAGGCCCTGATGGAGTGTGGACTCGCCTGTCTCGAGGAGAAAAACTAGGGTAAAACACTTTTTAACTGTTTTTTTT